GGTAAGCCAAATTATTGCCGCGGGTTACTTAGTGACCCGCGGGTCATAGGTTGCCGACTACTGGATTAGAGTATACTAAACTTTACACATTATATAGGCTACACTAACGTGACATTTAAGACGTCCGTTAACTATTATACGTGATGTACATTTTGTGAAGGTGGTTAATGAAAGTGTCCCAAAACTCGACATTAATTTCTTGACGACCTAATATGTAGTCCATGGAATTTAATTGTCACGAGTCTTTGAAAATGGTAAACAAAACAACTTTAACTCCACAGTTTAGATAAGGAAATTGAATTGATTCTTTTCGTTTCCAATAATTTCATCTTAATTACATTTGCTTAGATATTTATAATCACAAAAAAACTGAAAAACAACGACGCAAGTATTTAAAACATGTGTTATTTTATATTTATTAAAATATTGAAATAATATATCTTAATTTGATGATGTATTACAAATATGAAGCGTATGCATTATATTTTATCGATGTCAACCCCGCATAGTTTCTCTCACTAGAAAGCAGAAAAACACCCATGTTATCTGAAGACGTTAAACTACTTTCTAGAGAATCACAGTGTTTTATTCAGTATACATCAGAAACCATGGATATATTGTTTCAAAATCAATGATTTGACAATTCAGAGTTAGGCGGACTTTATATTGTTTATTCTATTAGTTTCTTTTGTTTGTTTGTTGTTAAACGCGAAGTTACATAATGGGCTATCTGTGCTATGCCCACCACAAGCATCGAAACCCAGTTTTCAGAGTTATAAGCTTGCAGACTTACCACCTAGCTACTAGGAGGGAGGACATTTGGTTGCTATGAAGCGCAAAAATATTGTATTACTAGCTGGTGTACCCGTCCCCTAGATGGAGGTTATGTAAATTCATGATTAATGAAAGATTATCTTAGGACATGAAAACTTGCTTCCCTTATATGCAATTGTAAAAAAAGCCCATAAAATCTGCAAAACACAAAATGTGAAACCACAACTTTGCACGTATCTCTCTATTGACCCAACAAACCTTCATGCCTAATTTGGTGAAGATCCATCAACAAAAGGCAAAGTAGTGGTAAAAAACGCAAAACGCAAAATGCAAAACTGAAAATTTGTATGCACCTCCGCATGGAGCTAATGAACCTCCATACCAATTTGGGTGAAGATCCATTCACACCCTCCGAAGTAGTTACATGAACATACAACAGACAGTACTGTTATATTTATATAGACTTAATACACGTATATCCATAAATTCCCTCATCCCTAAAAATGATTACAGACCAAATGAACAACATAACTCTTAAACAAAGAACGACACTCAAGTGCAACAAACAAACATTTCAATGAGCTCTAGAGGTTTGACGTCATAGAAAATAGTTTATTGTGTAAAAAATACGTGAATTAATTAAATAAAACCCAAATACATTGTATGTCAACCGTGAAAGTGCATTTCAAATGTTTTAAGTAGATAAGATAAATACTATATCAATCTCCAGTAAATGTATTTTAAAAGCACCTTTATTAATGCAGCAAGACCATAGTAACATTACAGGTTAACCAATTAGTAAATTAAAAAATAATTAAGTTAAGTAACTTACTTTGCACAATTTGTATCATTTCGTCTCTGCTCAACTATTCTATACGATAAGGAATTAGGGCTTGCTGTTAAGCATGGTAATTATACTATCATGCTGCAAAGAATTGCAAATGGCTTCTTAAAAAAGCAAGAAGAGATAGTATATTTAAACGACTCATCAGTAGTGATGCTTGTGTAACTGATTTACTTCTATTCACAGAAGAGAAGAGTCTTTCCACAATACAAGTGATTATAAACAGCATGATCAAAACTCTCAGAAAGGGATTGATATTTAGAAATATATCCATGTAATAACCATCCAAAATCTCATTAAGTGTTATATAATTTTTCCTCACAGTTGTTACTAGCATCATTTGCTGAAAAAACTGAAACTTAAGTTTACTTCACATTAATGCAGTATAAAGTACACGCTGATTTGAAGCTATACTTACGTCTGAACGTGTCCAATTTATTATATGCAGCCACAGCTTTTATCAGGCCATTTGTGTCATTAAAAAAAAAAAACTTTTAAATTAATTAGTTTGACAGTTAGTACCTTATTTACCCCACTGACTTTGGAGCTCCGGAAGGTATCGTCCATTCAAGTTCAAGACATTTCCAAAAAGTGAGAGTATCTATAAGTCTCAGTCATGAAAATGTGCAACAAGTTTGCAGTCTTGAACACACATACACACACGGCAACAAGTTCTCATTTTGAAAGATCTCTACATTCATTGGCAAGAATTGCATAATATGTTTTATGGGTTTCATGTAGTTCTCCTATAATCTTGCACAGAAGTAATGAAGTTGCAGCTTTTAAAAGGTTATTTTATATACCCAGACTCGTCATTGTAGCATTTTCTGAAAACATTTAAGGTCGATTTTGAATTTCTTCATTATAATTACTAATGAGTTTTAATATCTCTAGAAAGTTGCCTTTGCTTAAAGCTTCTTGGCCCTCTCTGTGCTCACATAAGGAAATTTGTTGTTTTGCACGGAACAGTACAATGTCAAGCACAATTTTTGTATGCTCATGATTTTTATCTATTAAGTGCCTGTTCATTACGCCTTTATTTAACATTTTTTAACGTTGTTTAATATTTACACGACCAGATAACAGGCACTGATTATGGTTATCATATTTAGAAAGTTCTGTTAAATGTGTTTTGTTTGATTCATGTTTGGAGCAGGCCTGGTGCACATGTTTCCTATTACAAAGGCCAGTCTCACCGAATGTGTCTTTGAAACAAGAGTTACTAAAATGTCTACATATTTTACAAACAACTGTGTTTATAGAAATGCTATATGTCATTGATGTTTTGGGTATCAAAGTGACGCAAAACTTTGACTTTTA